TTTGCTCATGCTAAACAGCTTAGCTAATTCTCATTTGTATTCAATACGTTGTTTGCCGTGTGCACTAATGATCTGACAAATCTTATTATATTTTCTCTTAGGCATTAGGTACCTTCTCATTAGGTGTGTGTTATTTCTTGGTAAATTTCAGAACGTAGCCGGTATCATGAAAATGTTTCGCCACACTATCTGTGAATAGCTGGTAAAATGACGCGCAATTCTTCCGTTAACTAACTATTTTGTAACCAAATTATTCTTCACTGTCATGACTTCATTGTGGAGAAGCAGCGGCCGTACATCCAGGCTCTCTAGAATATCAGAACTTTCGACTCCGTTGAACGAATCAACCAATCAATCCTATGATTTGCCTCAAAAGATCAATTTTTGCTGCTGTGCCTCTGATCGCAATTTTTCAGTCATGGTCTACGAGTCGTGATCATATGGTAGCATAGTCGACTTGAAAACAAGCAAAACTATTCTGTAATAAAAAAAATCTTCTTCACCAAAAGAACTTGTCATTTTTACGCAGAGATGGTCGTCTCCTCCCCCCACTGAGTACAAAAATTTCGGCGTCGATTATCACTAATTCTACCGATGCGACCGGTTCATGTCGCTGCACTTCGTACTGATGCCCTAATAGCTGACTTTCCAAAGTGATAATCAGCACAGACTGTGACCCCTAAAAATGTCAAGACAAATGCCTAAGGAAATTCACTCTTTCCTGCAACTGCGCCAGGAGGCGAAATCCCGGTCATGACGCTTTTATTGCAGACGACCATACACACAGACAATTACCGCAAATAAGATACATCTCATTTTAGATCGCATTTCCAATGCCCGCTATCAATCTTAATCATATTCACAATGCGGACTGATCGCTTTGTTCAACTGTGGACTTTGTGCTCATCCTCGAGGACCAATTCGCTTTAACCTCTTGACCGCAAAGCACTCCGGTGGAAGCTGCCACCAATAAATACATCCGGTCGTTTCGCTGTCGGTACCTCGATATTTCCTTTCTGTGGAGGCGAGCGTCTCAGGTTGTTTTATGAATGCGCTCAGTGCCCTTTTTGATAGGCTGTTTTTGGATGCGTCTGACCGCTTCTGTCTAATTCCAGCTGGTCGACACTAACGTTTCTACTACGGCTGTTCATCATGCCATTTTAATTGCAATTAAATGACAAAATTTCATTTGAGGATATTCGGCCCAAGCTTAGTTGCAGTTTCGCATAAAAACAAATAACAACAGCGAAGGAAAGTAAACTTTGTAGCTCTTTGAATGTCGGTGTCGTTATTCCTTAACACTTTAATGATGGGGCCATTTTGGCACCATTCGTTCCATTAAGTTAATGGTAGAAGCGCTGATCCTCCATCCCGATGCTATTAACCAGGAGTGCCTTTATTTCAGAGGCTGGGGCAATGCCAACAACGTGGTACGCAGAATTCGTATTTCCCTGTTTCCTTCTCACAGTGATTCTCATTTATCAACTTTCAAAGGATGGAAAGCGAGTCACCCTGAATGTGGCTGAAACCCGGTACCTCTCGGATCAGAGATCGACGCAAGACCATCTGAGAAACCTAAATCTGAAGTATTGGTAAATTCCTTCCTTAGGGGAATTCGTCAACATGAGAAAATTCGTCTTTGAGCGGAATCAAACTCAGCACCTGTGGGGCATAAGCATAACTCTTAATCAGAACAGTTTATGATCTGCGTTTCCCGATCGATTATAACAAGCAACGTGAAGAGATTGCAAACGAGATCAGGCAAAACGAGGAATAACTTACAGAGAGCACGCGAACTCAAAAAAAGCATCAGAAAACGTTGATCGCAGCAAAAGCAAATGACAGACAAAGGTAGACAAGGGTGGAACAGTGGGAAACCAACTTAGAGATAGAAAACAGCCGAAAATATGAAAATGACCAAAAAACTCCAAATACATACTACAGCAAATTACTTACCCTAAAGAATCGCACCCTTGGAAATGGAAATGCAGATTGGACGGAAAACGACTGACTTGGATGACTGATTTGAGTACCATCATGTGCAGCTGACTAAGGTGGTAGGAGTTACGTTGTGATTCGCTGAAAATTAGCATTGACTTCGCGTATTACCATCATTTGAGTAAAAGGTTCGAACGAACTCTGAAATCCTTCCTTTCACTTAAAAAAAGAATGCCAAACACCTTTCCATAAGTTGTATTATCATGAGCATAACGTCTGTTAGCTTTTGGATAATTCTAGCGCATCTATCAACTAAGTGACAAACCAGTATAAACTTGTAATTAACAGAAAAACGTGAACGAAAAATGTTAACAAAAATGCAAGGTTTTGATGGATGCGCCAATCGAAGCTTGGCAAAAGATGCAGTACTGCGCTTTTTCTGTCGTATAAATCCCTACTGGCTGAGGACAAAATGACAATGAAAGCTCATTTTGAAGATGAAGAAAAGCGTGTCCATGAATATTTACCTGCAGGGACTGCACCTTCACAGAAATTAGTCAGAAAGAAAAAATTCCTTTAAGCCTCTATAAGACAGGAAAATTAGAAAAAAGTCTGTCAATACATTCGCGCTGTAACTTAAAGATTAAATATTGTTGTGATCGTAGAAAAATTTGACAGAGAAATCCGCTACTTTGACAAAATATCTTAAATCTCTCCAGGTGATCCGAGAGGATCGAAAGCGCGATCGTGTTTTGGCACTGCTTCTTATGTACTGAAAATAGAGTTCATATACTCCACTTCATTTCGTAAAAATGCCTATTTTTGCGCAAAAAAACCGCATCATACACGATTCAAATACCGTACGCTAAGATCAGATGACAGTCACACGATTTACAAGAACATATGGAATACTGAAAGCGCAACAAACACTTCCGTTTAAATGATAATGACACGTTGCATTCGTCGATCACTTGCTCTTTGAAACCTCAAAAAACAACTAAAACCACAATTTTCGGCGTGGTCCCCAATTGAAAGAACGTCGATATCACGGCGGGGTACGAAATGTTTTCATAATTTAATTTGAATTAATACTGAAGCACTTATCATCAGGTAAAACATTAATTTCCAACACTTTTGAAGGATACCGAATTGAAGCTGGGTAATGCATAAAGTGAATGGACTGTTATTCAACGGTGTTCTTTAAAAAACCTTATGACTCAAAAATAAATTACCCTGAGCAGCCTGTTACGAAAAAAACTGAGGGTCCATTTTGGTCAGGAAAAAGCCGCGTCAGCCTCGCTCCTAAGAAGCGGAAAATTTTAAATGGCAGGTTGTAAATATATTGTGCGACAGCATCTTGATGCTCATGAAGAAAGTCGAAATGTTGTCGTGCATTTTAATAATTTATTCTTGCTTCTTCATCATAACAACGCGTACTCAGCTTTTAGAATAATTCCAATAATAACAACTATCATTGAATAAAGTAATATTCGATAAAAATGCTTTGCAAATTATAATGCTTAGGCAGCAATAGAAGAATGACGTAGTTTCTTTACGAATCGAGCTACGGCGGTTTTTAACCACCTTAAATGGTAGCATCCTTCAACACTACGTTCAGAAAACAGTTCAGATAGAACATTTCACGCGAACGTATGCAGTCAATGGTCTCATCACTTTCTTCTCAAGTTTTGGCAAACCCAATCAAGTCCATCCTGAAAATAAAATGTTATGAAAGGTCAAGATCAACACTCTCAGTGAGATATGGAAAGTAGAAAAGTTTCAACAGACAATTAAATTTTAAATAAATCTTATTATATCCTCACGTCGTATTGGTTATGTTAATAGCTGACTTAAATCAGCGCTTTTAGTGAATCAAGGACGCAGCTCTACTAGAAAGTAATACCCGTAATAGACACTTAATGTATGAGTGACATGTTTTAGAGTTATTATGTGAACGACTTAATTGTATTTATCAGCACTGCATACATGACCAGTGACAGATCAGTATCAAAACAAGAGAATGGACTCTCATGTAAACATACTTGCTAAAGGCAATAGTTCTGGCTAAGAACTAACTAGGGGCCTTTAATTGGAACCGAATATTGAGAAAGTGTTTAAGGATGGGGAAACAATATGGTAAGAATGGAAACGAAAATTATTTTTATCACCTTTCATGTGATTTGTCCTAATTAGGAGTGAGTAGACGTTCCACCTGTCTTGTTTGCTTCCACAGCTGGCTAAATAATTTATCATTGGTACCAATCACATCCCTCATTTTGTCGATTTGTAAGTACTCAAACCGAATCAGTAGCCTGTAATTATTTTTATGATTTTTATATTTTGTTCAACGTTTTTCGCGAATAATTGTTCGGTAGTCCATTCCGGGTGCGAACCTTCGTGAACTATGTATCCTTGAAGCAACCAACGGATTAATCAAAGCGGAGGGCTGGGTGTGACTTAGACATGGACAAATATCAATGGGGAGTAGCTTGTAACAGCCATCTCAATCTACCGAAGCAGGCTCCTGCGCCGTTCCAAGTCTTCACTTCAGCAGAACTTACATACACGCAACAATCACATTTCTTCTGTAACAGTAAAACAAATTCTGCTGCAATGGCAGTGAACTGAAACTAAATTGACCATGCTAAAACCAGCCGATTCTCCGTTATGAAAGGTCATGCTTTAAATAGTGGGCAACAAATTCACTAACTAAAATCTGGTGAAGAAAGACTCTAATCCTAAAAAAAATTTAGAGGAACTGAGACCAGCGTTTGGCACTGTTCATTTTCACTGACAGAAAACAATAACTGAAAACAAAGTCGCACACATTCATGACTGTGACCTAAGCAGGCACAGCTACAACAGGCAATTCGACCTACTTGTAAAAACGTATGCGATTTTTGCCTAAACTACGAAAGCATAATATAAATCAGAGACGCCTCTTAAATCAAATCAAACATTAATTGTACGGAAACACTTGCGTTTAAATTTTGCTTCATAAACTATCATAAACTGTCTTAATCTTCAAAAGTTTTGTTAATGACAAAAGGGTTCTTGGAACATTAAAAAAACACTTTTACCTTGACCCCCTCGGTCGTTATTGCAGAACAAGCCTGTATTTGCCACTGGCGGTCTCTGATCTTGTGCAGCTGCAAAGCCTCTGCTAGCACGCTGGCAGACACAGCGTTGACCAGGTCTTGTTTGTTAGCGAAGATCAGCAAAGGCACTTGAGAGAGCTTTTCCTCCTCAAGAAGTTCCATCAACTCCTGAAAATCATGACAGTTGAAACACAAGCCATGGAAATTCGCTTGCCTTACCAGCCCCGTTTCGTCAAAGCGCTTCTTGTCTGAACTGTCGATGACGTAGATCTGAAGAAATAGTAGGTCATCATACAGCGCTATAGCATACCGGTCACAAATTTACGAGAATGTCTACGTTCTCGAAGTAGTTTTTCCAATAAGGCCGGATTTTGCGCTGTCCTCCGATGTCCCAAACATTCAGCTTAAAGACTTCAGAAACGACACTTTTTATGTTGAAACCCTAAAATGCGACATTATGCAATGATATAAAACAATATATGCCAAAGTAACTTAAACTTAAAGTAACTTCAAACCTGAGTCGGAGTGACGTGAGTAATATCCTCAGACGCAAGTCCCTTAAGAAGCGTAGTTTTGCCCGCGTTATCCAAACCTAAAGAATGCATCCTTTTCATACGTCACAGAATTCCTATGGAAACCTACCTAAAAGCAGGATCCTCACCTCCTTGTCCCTGTTTGGTCGAAGCTTCTTCAGTAGCGCCAACAGCCCCTAGACAAGATTGTTATCACCGCATAGCTAATAATAAGTTTCAACGTACCATCTTGTCAATATATGAATTACTTGTCAATACGTGAAAGACTGAAAACTGCCCGAAAGCTGTAACAGAGTAAATCAGTCGTCATGGCAACAAGCAACAATCCAGCCTTTGGTAATGAATTGCTTCAAGTCACACACAGCTTTGCAAAATGAACTACTAGACATTTAACTAGTTTAGAGCGGGACTTATGGCAGCTTGTCAACCAGTGTTCAGGTAAAATAATCTATTCTTCCCTGAACTCCAGTAAACCATGTACTAATTCAGTAGGCAGAAAAGAAACTCACTATTGTTACCAGACTCATTTAAAAAGTTACTCAGCAGATATATTGAATTCTGAGCCGCCCCGAATAACGGTGATGTCCATCGACACATTCGCTATGGAGTGAGGAAAGCATGAGGCAAAAGAAAAAAGTTCTTTGTAGTACGCGCGACAGATAACTTATGAAGCCAACTGGGGTGCTGTTCTATTTCCACGTGAACGTCGTGATAAAATCGCACACGTTTAGTCGAGTCTCATTGTATTTCCCTTTTGGAAGCTGTGGCAATACCTAAAACGATCGATACCAATGGTCCTGCTCTCCTGTAAACACAAGTTTAATTGATGCAGCCGCTAACACATAGCTACTGAATGACAGTGACATGCACGCACGTCGCCCACTCCTGTTCGCATTCTCATCGCTCTTTCTGTTTTGGCAAATGTTTGTTGACTTGCAAAACTCCATTGTTGCAAAGCATATAACTTATACTATTCCTTTATGTCTGCAGTTCGCCCGGACTCAACCAATAACTAACCGAAGATTAGCATAATGTGTAAAATTCAAATTAAAAATAAATTAAGAAAACATGAACGCAGTGGTATGGGCCAATCGCTGTTCTCTTCATATGGCTTACCATAAGTGTCTGTTATCACAAGAGCCACAGGTTCAGCTCAGCAAACCTACTAATGATCAAATTATGCCTCAAGGCAGTAGAAATGATGGCTCTGCGTCAAACCTTAACGACCTACAAAAACGAACCACTACAGCAAGGCTTCTAAAATGAAAATGCAACGGTAAAACGATTTTTGACTCTTCCTTTATAAATTCCCTTATTCAGCCTCAGCTTTCGGTCGAGGTGAGAAGGTAAGGGATTAAAAATAAACGAGTTAACGATTATAGTGACAGTAAAGAAGAATCGCAGCTTCCAGAGATGTGAAGACCTGGATTTCATGGATTCTGAAATAGTCAATTAATGAAACAGAGGTAAGAAT